CATTTTTTTCATTTGGTCCCTTTTTGGTTTTTCTTTTCTTTTTTTTTTTTTTTTTTTTTTTTTTTTTTGTTGCCACCATTTAAATGACAGTACTTAGGACGGGGAAGTTTAGAGATGCAGTAAAGCTGCTTGTCTGAATCCACTTTGAAGTAATAATGCTAGTGGGTCTGAAATCCAGATCTACCAGCTAATCTCTAGTTTTGCCTTCAAACGGAATTCAGTTACAAAGAGCTTGGAAAGATTTTGCATCTATTCAAGAGGCACAAAATCTTTAATTTTCTGAGGAGCAAAAACTCCCCAAGAAACTTCATATAGCTCCTTAGGTTTTGCTTAGCATATGTGATAAAACATTGATTGTTGCAGTTTGGTGACCCATGAAATTTGGGGGTTAGTTTTCTCTTCAGACCAGAGCATATAATTATGCAAATAAAGAGCTGTCACTGATCTAGTGAAATACTCACAAACACATGCAACCCAAAAATGGAACAGAAAAGTGAAAATTTGTGGTATTATGATGGTACAATGATAAATGACATCTCCTACCAAGTTTCTTGAGAAGTACATTTTTCACACTTTGTCGAGTACGTCAACATAATGCGAGCACACACCGAGACACACGCACACACACACACACGTCCCTGCGAGATCCAGATACCCACGAATGTGTGCACAGGCACACACACATACACACACACGCATCCCTCAACTCTGTAAGATGCATCTCTACCCGGGTGTACGATGGATGTACACATTCTTGGCAGGTTATTTTTGGTTTGGCTGACTTGAGAACGGTGCAATATGTGGCTCCACGCGGTTTTATAGATGTGACACTTTTCATTTGTACTTCTGAATGAAATTCCTAGAGGGAAAAAAAAAAAACCAAAAAACAAAACAATTAGTGATGTTTCTCGGGGACAGAGGAAAAATGCGCATTCCCATGAAAAGCAGCATCATCTTTTGACTGAGTCCGGGAGAATCACACCGCGATGACTGCAACCAGCGCATAGCCATGTGTGCACAATGGAGATGAGGGATTTCTTTGCTTCCCCCCCCCCCATTTCTTTTTTTCCCACGGCCCTGCTGTGTTTGGGGGGTCCTCCGGCTGTTTTCCTCGCGGAATATTTTTTCCTGCTCCCCCTTCTTGGCGAGGAAACATTGCTCTCCTTGGCTCATCGCTGCAGCCATGGCATTTCGGCTCGCACAACGCTGTGCAAACCTTTTTGGGCAGGCGGGCCATCCGCCTGTCGCTCATGAGGAACTGGGGGATTCTCCTGTAGAACATATCCCAGGGGCAGTTTGTTTTTTTTTTTTTTTTCCC